CCAACACCATTTGTTAAAATGGCTGTCATTTCCCCACCTAACTGATTTCATCTCTTTGTCAAAAATCAATTTTCTATAAATAGATGGGCTGATTTCCGGGTTCTCAATTCTATTCCATTGATCTATGTGTCTGTCATTGTACCAGTATGCATGGTGTTTCTTAAGAACCGCTCATCTGCACTATTCTTCCTTTTTCTGGTCAGTTTTGTTTCCCCTAAGTTCCTCCAGGCCTCCAGATATTCAGATTGCCTATGCCTTGGATATTGTTAGAATAACTCTGTGTCCCCTGGGGAGAGGCAATTCCATCAGTCCATCTAATTGTCATCCAAACTGGAAGTCTTTGTAATGACCTTTTGCTTTCTTTTCCTCTGATTTTTTATTATTAACATTCAGTGCCTCAAATCTATTCTTAAGATGATTTTTAAATTCAGGTGGTATAGACTCAAGGTTCTATTTCAACTCACATGGACTTGTTTTAGTTTTTTTTAACTTAAATTTGAATTTGTGCATGAGTCATTGATGGTGTTTTCCACAATGACCCCCATCAGCTCTGGTTATTTTACCTATTGATATTGAGTTTTTCCATTGATTCTTTCCATGGATGTAGTCAGTCTATTGCTATTCATCAGGTGAGATCTACATGCATAGTTGCTATTTATGGTTTTTTAAAATATATTTTTTCAAAGATTAAATAATTGATTGTACAAAATTATATGATTCTCTCTCTAGCCTCATTTCTGTCACCAACCATGTATTCCAACTACCAGTCCTTTATTTTTAACGTTTTGCCTCAGTCACCAATCTTGATGGTATGTTTGATCAATTTCAGACTTCAAAAGTTATTGTTGTTGTTGTGTACCATCAAGTCAGAAGAAACTCTTCCCAAGTTTTAGAGGCAGTATCACACCAGAGGAGATTGTTCCTCTTTCTTTCTTGGAGAAGCTAGTGGATTTTAATTGTGTGCCTTTGGGTTAGCAGCTCAATGTCTAACTACTATGCCACCAGAGCAAACACTGTTAAAAGTCTTCACTTTCCTTAGTGGTTGGTGCATATATTCGAATAATAGTTGTTTTAACAGGTCTTCCCTGTAGACATAAGGATACCATTCACAGCTTTTACTTAAGGATGGATCTTAAAACGTTCTTTTTTACCATGAATAGGACCGTTCTTCTTAAATGAGTCATTCACAGCATAATAGATCCTACAATTATCTGGTTCAAAATGAGCAAGACCATTCTATATCAGTTCAGTAGTGTGCTGTTGTTGTTGAGTTCTGTTGAGTCCGATCCAACCCATAGTTGACCCTCCAGCAGATGTTCAGAGATAGTTAATTGCATAGAAGGAGAGTGTCCATCTTTCTCCCATGGAGCATCTCATGGATTCTAACCATATGCCTTCAGGATTGTATCACAGTTTTTACCATTAGGCCACCAGAGCTCACTAATGTGTAACATGTTAATTATAAGTCCAATTTCACTTTTTTACAACTTCAAATTGTCCTTAATTCATACTTTTTACATTTCTTATTCTAGTTATTATTGCAGCTGTTTTCCCATGGGGAGGTGTGTGTGTGTGTGTGTGTGTGTGTGTAGTGTGGATTACTTTTTCTTCAGAAACTTTATATTTTCATTTTTCACTTAAGCATTACTTTTTTTGAACCTCTGGTTTATGGTGATGAAATAGTGTAGCAATTAGAATATTTTCAGTTCTTTTTTATAGCTCTGTCCTAATTCCCCTGATTAGGTCAGTGTTCTCGAACAGAGTAAGAGAACATTGCATGCAGATGATATAACCTTGCTTGTTGAAACTGAGGAGAACTGGAAGCATTTGCTGCAGAAAGCCAAAGATTGCAGCCTTCAATATGGATTGAATTTCAACATCAAGAAAACAAAGGTCCTTACCACTGGGCTAATGATATAAGGGGAAAGGACTGAGGTTCTTGATGATTTCATCTTGTTTGGATACACAATCAAAACTCATGACACCAGCAGTGAGGAAATCAAAAGACAAATTGCATCGGGGGAAATCTACTGTCAGTGACCTCTCCAGAGTGTAAAGAGCAATGACGTCAGCCTAGATACTGAGGTCCACATGATCCAGGGGTGGTCTTCTCAATTTTTTGTTGTGCAACTGAGAGCTATACAATTAATAAGGATGATGGGAAAAGAGTCAATGCCTTTGAGATGTGGTTCTGGAGAATGACACTGAACATATTATGGACTGCCATGAGAACAAATAGGTCTGTCCTGGAGAGGGTCAAACCAGTTTGCTCATTGGAGGCAAAGATTTTGAAGCTTTGTCTCATATACTTTGGTCGTGTTGCCAGTACATCATGCTTGGAAAAGTAGAGAGTCAGCATAGAAGACCTGAATGAGATGCATTGACTCAGTACTGTGGCAGTGCAGCTAGGTGTGTCAAAGATGGTGAGGTTGGCTGAGAATAGGGCAGGATTCAGAGCTATTAATCATAAGGTCACTATGGGTCATAGTAGAATCAACACTCACTTCTAACAACAACTTTCTTCCTGTCCCTTACCTATCAAACACTTAGTGAACCACACATACAAACACAAGCACATGTCTACAAACACATTTAGGATGTGAATAATACAAATGGTTTAGAATGAAATTTTAAATAACAATGTGAACTTTAAAAATCATACCTTTAAAAATTATATATTCACCATAGGAATCCAGTCCTTCTGTCCAACACCTGGGAACTGTGCTCACCAGTTGACTGCCACTAAAAAAAATAGCTGTGCAAATTTTGCCACAGAAAACTTGTAAAAAACCTCTTATGGAGGACCCAGATTCAGGAGCTGCCTGATAGTGTTCTCCTGCCTCTATTGCACTAACTCATTAATGTTTCTGTTTGTTCTCTCACCTAGATGATTCCAGAGAAAGGCATCAAAAGAAAATCCAATGCAGAACTCAGAATTACCTAAACCTCTATGCGGTAGATGGTCTTCGCACACTGTGTATTGCCAAAAGGGTAAGTGAAGGCTGCTATTCTGGTGGCTCCTGTAAACAACTGAGTCCATGACCTTAAAAACACTAACAAGGAACTTCTAATAGGTCCTGAGTAAGGAAGAATACGCCGGTTGGTTACAAAAGCACTTGGAAGCAGAGTCTTCCTTGGACAACCGTGAGGAGCTCCTTTTCCAGTCCGCCATTCGCCTGGAAACTGACTTGCACCTCCTAGGTAACTATTCTTGCCACTCCCTGTCAAGGCTACAGCACACTGACTCTTCCCAGAAGGCTTTAGGGAGACTGTCTCATGATAATTGTGGAATTAGTCCAGAGAAGAAATTTGTCACATTTTCTTCTTCTGTTCTGATCTCTCTTTCCTCTGTGTTGCATTTTTACTTTTAACAATATAATTATGAAAGCACAGCTGAAATTTCAGTGATGTCAAAGGTTGTGTGTCAGCATGGCTAATACATGATTGTTAGATATTTGGCAGATACGATGGTGTAGTTTGGCAATAAATACTGACTTTGTTATGTTGTCATTTGCCATCACAATAGACTACAACTCAGAGACACTATAAACAATAGCTCTGACCCGTCAAGTTGCTTGCGACTCACACCAACCCTATGTACAAGATCCCAAAATCCTACTCTATCCTGTGCCAACCTCATTGTCTCCAACACATCTACTTCTGCTACCCCAGTCACTGAATCTATCCATCTCATTGAGGGTCTGCCTCTCCTGCAGGACAAACTTCTTTGTTCTCCTAGAAGTCCACGGTATATTCAACACTCTTCTCCAGCATCACAGCTCAAAGGCATAAATTCTCTTTCTATCATCCCTAGTCACTGTCCAGCTCTCCGATGCATAGCACGCAATTGAGAAGAATATAGCCTAGATCAGGCTCACCTTAGTCCCCAGCCTGATGTTGTTGCTCTTCAGTACTCTGGAGAGGTCCCTCACAGCTGACTTTCCCAATGAAATTCGTCTCTATATTTCCTGGCTGCTGGTACCAAGAGTATCAACTGTGGAGCCAAACAAACTTAAACTGTTAACTATCTCAGTCTCTTCACCATCCATCCTGATGCTGCCAATTGTTTCAGTGGTGAGAATCTTTGCTTGATGTTGTGCTTCAATCCCTATTGAAGGCTGCAGTCCTTGATGTTCTGCAACAAGCACTTCAGGTCCTCCTCAGTTTCAGAAAGCAGGGTTGTGTCATCTGTATAATGCAGATTGTTGATGAATCTTCCACCAATCCTGATGCCATATTCCTCCTCATACAGCCCAGCACCCCGGATGATCTATTCTGCATACAAGTTGAAAAAGTATGGAGACATAGCAATAGCAATAAGACAAGAGAAGGGAATAAAAGGTATCCAAATAGGCAACGAGGAGGTAAAATTATCCCTCTATGCTGATGACATGATAGTAT